GACATTGGCAATTGAGCGCGTGAACATTTTTCCGAAACCATGATCTCCTGCACACATTAGGCAACTTTACTGTTTTATCTTATCGCATGGACCTAGTCATGGGGTGGACAAAAACTCGGCTCTACAAGGACATCATGTAATAAAATTTAGCTCAAAGAACCCTTTATCTCATTGTGTAAGGAATCGTTATCATTTGCCGTCCTGGACTTATCTTGGTTTTGACTTTGAATGTGAATCACCAGCAAATAGTTTGTAGAGACACAGGATATTAATGGGCGAGGCAGGTCAAAGAGTTTCTGCACGCGACGTTCTAGATAGAGGCCATGCGTGTGGAAGTTGGGCGGCAGTCAGCAAGGTCATGGAAAATATTGATAAAATATTTAAGGTCTTTCCCCCCCCCTCCCCCACGAATTTGATCACAATTGCACTATTGGTACTGTCATGAGACAAATAATCCATTCCAAACTCTTGCAGAACCGGCTCAACAATCCACGTTTAGAGAACAGACAAAAAGCAGATGTCACGTAATAATAATAACTACCCCTGAAATCCCCGCGAGTGACTTCTAATGCACACGAGGGGTGTAGATCACTCGCACCCACCTTGCTATTGAGTATTGATTGTTGCACGACAGTCAAACCTATACTTTTAATGATAACACCTAGACATCAATGAATACTCTTGCTGCCGATGCCGAACCAATAGAAAGAGCCGTGTACTTGTAATGACATCCGATAGACGAATAAGTGTGGGTTATGCTGATGGCATGGATGCATGGATAACAAAAAGTAAAACCTTGGTTAGCAGGACTAATAGTCGGGGGCTCTCGTCCAGTTATCTGTAAAACTAAAACGAATTACAATCAATTAAAACAACAATCCTGTGTTACTATATATGTATTACTACATATGCTAGTCTGCAGATTAGTCTGTGCAGTGTGTTTACTCCAAGACGAGTTATTCCCCTCTTTAAAGTCAGATGCATTTGGCCAAATTAATCTTGAATACAAAGACACGTAACTCATTTACCTATCCAAAGTATGTATTTATAACAAAAACCCAACGAAATATTAGACACCCCACAACACTTAAGTGCATTGTAACCAGGAGAAAACACTCACATGGTTCTTATTCATTCTTTGTTAATGCCCCAAACATCTAGCATTTCCTTGCTTCGATAAGGTAGTTGGTTACTCTTCCACCTAAGTCACAATTTGATGCCGAGATGTTCATTCAGTATAACTTCACTTGCAATTACATATGACATATATCCTTGTCTGTATACATCCTAGTTCAATAATCACTCTAATACATATTCATGTCTCTGTAATTTAATTGTACTCTGAATGGCATTTAAAAATAATTTTCCCAAACAATCTTAAAATTACAAGCTGTTTTTTTATTATTGATTTATGTTCATGCATCGCTTTTGATTGATTCCATAACATGGTTGTTTTGTGCCAATTTGTAATAGCTTCTTTGTTATACTTGTATAGTGGTTTAACGCGCGCCAAGGGGGGTATTGTAAACAGATGCGGGTTGGGAACAGTGGGGTCATATCGGGACATGCTGGTGTTGCTTGGGGACAATGGGTGAGATGGAGACGGCCCGCTAGGCAACTATGGATGCAGAGCAGTGATTGGCCGGTTGTTGTCAGGGACAGGGTGGCGCCTTTGAGTCTGGGAATGGGGACAGGTGGCGGCGGGGGCCGGGGGCGCTGGGTGTTGGGGGGACGCCAGTTAATTAATTGGAAATTAATAGGGACGGGGATAAATACGGGAACATCAGAGTGAGACGGGGTGTGGTGCTGCGAACTGGACGAAGGTCGGAGCAGAAGAAGAAGACGCGAGAAGAAGTATACGAGTAGCAGTGGAGTAGAAGAATAAGTGTGGAGTAGAAGAAGAAGTATAGGTAGCAGTGGAGTAGAAGAAGAAGTATAGGGTAGCAGTAGAGATGGAGACGAGTAAGGTATGAGAGGTAGAATAGGGTAGCGGTGGCGCAAGGGAAGAAGAGGTGACGAGAGGACGGATAGGCGGCTCGCAGTGGATCGGGAACGAGATAGACAGTCGGAGTGAGATGGAGAAGCCGAGAGAGAGCGACGGCTGGAGTGGGATGGAGAAGCAGAGAGGGGAGTCGGGAGAGAGCGAGGGAGGAACGGAGCGAGCGAGGCCGACGGAGCGCGGCGAGCGAGCGGAGAACGCGCTGGAGAATGGTGGCGAAATGTGCTGAGTTTGATAAGATAAAGTGACGACAGAAAAGGAAGAAGTTGTCCGCGTAAAGTTCAGCACTACACTTATTTTAACACGTCCGCTTTTGTTATTTGGGTGGCCCAGGTCACTCTTGCATATGCAGTGGAGGCACACATTGAACTATTCTCCCGCAAGCGTTGATCCCTGCTACGTGAACATCTCTCTCAGAGTCCAAAAATAAGTTAATAAATAGATTGGCCAAAGGACCTTTGTATCAGATTATGCATTTTTGTTGCTGTGCGTTCGGTAGATTATATCTTTCACAATCCCCACTTGCTTAACACTGATATAAGGTTGTTTTAGACGATAAATACTATCTTTGCACATTTACTCAGTCTGACTTATCAGCCAAAACCCCACCACATATGTGATTGTTGCTAAGAGGTAGAGTGAGCGGCCCCGCAATAAAAAAAAATATTGCAAGATCAAATCCTGATCGGAGGATGACGAAATAATCATCCTTCCAGAGTCATTAAAATAAATACGACTCTTCGGGGAAGTCAACAGTGGTTATTGTATGGACACACACGTGCCCACCATAAGAATGGAGGAATTCCCACCACTGGCTAAGAGTTGTAGAACAGAGATGAGCACTTAATTTTCACAGCAGACTAGACTAGCCACCCACACGGATGCCTCCTGACTCCCACCACCATCCAGCCCAGAAGAATTCTCTCATCAAAACACTACACCATAGGGCCCTTTGCTACTCCGACCAGCACCACCTAGCTAGTGAGTTGGAGCATGTACACCAAGCCCTCAGGATGAACGGATACTCGGACCGTACAATCCGCAAAGCTGCCTCCCCAGCTATGGGGAGACAACCTTCTGAGGATCCAACCAAAACCATCACTTACCATACATAGCAAGGGTTACCAAAAATATTTCCAAAATCTTAAACAAACACAAGATACAGGTTCGTTTCAACACAGTACACAAAATCCGTGATTTAATCCCATCTGTAAAGGATGTGATTCCTGACATGCAATACCCTGGTGTCTACAAACTGAGTTGTGGTTGTGGCAGCAGTTACATTGGGGAAACGAAACGACATGTCTCGGACCGCGTTCGTGAACAGAAGGCAGATCTGAAACATGGTAGGACCAATACCTCTGCCATTGCTGATCATTGTTTTAACGCTGTGGGCTCACACGAAATTGATTTTTCCAAGATGGAGGTACTCTGCAAACCTACCGGCTACCTTCAGAGATTTGTTCATGGAGCCATCCAGATATATAAACACAGACACAACTTCAACCGAGAAGATGGGTACAAACTGAGCAATCATTGGAAGGACGTTATTAACCAGGTAAAGTCTTAACTGACTGTGATGTTTCCATCCTACCTGCCTATGTCAGCTGTTATTTCCGACTCTGTGTCTCTCTCTCTATGCCTCTCTCTTAGATCTCTCACATGTCCTTTGGATTGCACTCTCATGCTCACATGTCCTTTGGATTGCACTCTCATGCTCAAATGCCCTTTGGATTGCAATCTCATGCTCAAATGCCCTTTGGATTGCAATCTCATACTCAGAAAAAATGGGAAAACCTATTCTCATCCTTTATAGACTGTTGAAATACATTTTGTTAACGAGCACCTATTTAGGCATGTATGGCCAGAACCACACCTGTCCAACTTTGTCTCCCCAGTGCTGCTGTTTTTATATACTGCACCAGGTGTGCATTTTAAGCCTGAGTCAACGAAAGGGAGGCTGCAGACCAGTTTAGATATGACTCACCAATGATGTCCAACTCAGATCGTCAGCTTCATAGCACGGCACACTAACCAATGCACCACGAATTCCACAACCATATTTTTCATCCTATGTTAGAAAAAAGTTTTTTTCTGGCTGGCGCATGGGCACAAGCATCTGGTGGTGGCGTTATTGTGCCCATCTGTGTGATGACTTCACCGCATCCCATAGTGCTGAGTCGGTTTGCCTGCATGCTGATGTGATATCACGCAACCCCCCATCCACCCTCCAACTCGGCCATGTATCCCACGCAAATACGTGGGCAGTGCTAGTTTTCAAATGAATGTTTTTTTTTATATCGTGCCATTTTGATTTAGTGCCCTTCAAAAACTCCAATATAAACTTTCAGGGCTAGGCTTAAAAACTAAAATCAACATAAAAAATATATCACTTCACAACCCGCCCTCGCAAAAATAGATAATCTGTTATTAAGCAATGCTTGGTGACCACGCCAGAGATCGCAGACTATTCACGAAACTCCTGTCAAAGTAAAGCTGCATCTGCATTAAGATGCAATACTCTAAATATAATCTTGATCTGAAGCTTTCGTGACTGCAGGAATCCATACTCTTTGGTTCTTTCGGTAAAGTCATGTAGGGATAAAATAAAATAAATCACGTTTCGGGCGCAACACAAGCGTCCGTCATCAGGTGATGACAGGTGATGACGGACGCTTGTGTTGCGCCCTAAACGTGATTTATTTTAGCCCTACGTGACTTTACCGAAATAACTCTAAATATACTCTAACAACAGATATGCTGAACACAAGATATGGAAGTGGGGAACATTGCCTTGATAAGAAATACAAACGACCACAAAGCCATGACTCACAGCATCTAGGCCTGCACCTCCAACTAATTTCATTCATTCTCAGAATGCTTTGAGGGCTCAGCAAATCATCTGTGTTCGCGAGGACTATTTAGAGCCCTACTCTGGGCCACTATTGGCTGCTCTAGAAATCGGAGTGGGTAAACATTAACCACGCTCACAAACACAATCAGTTGAAAACTACTGCAACCTCGAACTCCTGGTCACACCAGCAGCCGGCTCTGACATAATTCGTCTCTGCTCATATCTCATCACCCTCACCGACCCCGTGTGCTAACGGGTCCTCCTCCTTCCCCGTGCAGTGTTTTGTATATGTATAGTTAGTCTTGCGTGCTCAAAAAAAAGAATGTCGACCATTACAGTGAGCAAGTTATTGCTGGTTTTGCTGGGGGTCCTTTCCGTGGGGATGCTCTCCGCTATCATCGCTCTTTCCGTACTCTACTCCAACGAGGTGAACGCCAACAAAGAGCCAGTTGCTACTGCACCCACCGAGAAGCCCCCTCCGACTATTCGCCCCGATCCCTGGAAGAACATTCGCCTCCCTAAGGACCTGGTGCCCATCAGCTACAAGGTGAAGCTCTGGCCAAAGCTAGATCCGGACCCCGTCACCAAACTCTACACGTTCAGCGGCGACTCGACCGTCGAGTTCCAGTGTCTGGTCCCAACGAGCGTCGTCGTCATCCACAGCAACAAACTCAACTACACCGCGAAGGGTGGCCACTTGGCTCTTCTCAAAGACTCCTCGGGGAACGATGTGGAGGTGACAAGCTCCTGGCTGGAGCCCAAGAACCAGTACCTGGTGCTGGAGCTGACGGCTCCGCTGCAGATGGATGCGACCTACACGATGGCCACCGAGTTCGTGGGCGAGCTTGCCGATGACCTCGCGGGCTTCTACCGCAGCGAGTACACGGAGGGTGGAGTTCGCAAGTACGTGTGTGTGTGTGCGGCCGGATTTATTCTCACAAGGAATGGAGGGGGCTCTAGCCCCCCTTAACTTTAGAGACTTGGGCGGTGGGGGAAGGGAGAAGACACTTTAAGGTAGTCTAACCCCCACACAAATACTGTAGTTTAGTCCCATCATTAAAATCCGCGTGCACAAGAGGAATAAACTGATTGACTTAAAACTTTCCAGTAGAATGGGTCATTCAACTATTTGCATGTACATTTCTGTAAAATCATTAAATTGCACGCAAAACTAAATGTAACATCAAAACCTGTAATGTACTATAGTAAGTTAAATAACAATGCCACTCTGTAGCTGAGGGGACAGGCTAAATAAGCTCAAATCATAGGTAGAGATGACTTATATTTGGTGGGGGGGGGCAGTTCGCTTTGCCCATCACATTAGGAATCCGGGTGCCTATAATGTTTTTCTTAATTGTAAATTACTGAAAATAAATAAAGGTGTCCGGTTTGGGGGAGCATTGCCCCCCCCCCCGCCCCCCAAACTCCACCCATGACTAAAATGATTCTGTAATCTGCTGCGGAGATTCCTTAGCTTGTAACCTTGGTGCACTAAACCGAGGCACATCGCGCCCTGTCACCTCGGCTGCAGCACCTCTATTCAATATCGGAGTCAGCCCACCACTAATTCATGTTACTCTATCCAGCACCGTCACATTACAAATCGCACGCACACACACACATCTCAAACGTTCAGGGCAACTGTACTTCACCATCACCACTACCCATCCTAATCCACTTACGCTCGCAAGCATAATACACATCTCTCGCGATTGCACGCGCAGGCACATGCAACTTTCACAATTCACAGCCCATAAACGTGTCACTTCTTTAACACCCATGAAGACGTTACAATTTATTCCACCGCCGCCACTAGGGGGCGGTGGCTAAAAAGTCTCATGCATTTGCTGATGCTTCAAACGCTTCACTTCCCTACCATACCGCATGAAAGGCACAAGACCCAGAAAGAGATTGTGACATTATGAGACCAATTGTAGTCACCTCTGGCCATGCTGTAATCGTTTGCACCCTTAAATGACACCGCCATCTTGGTGGTCACTAGCCATCAGTGTGAGGCGTTGACCTGTGACCACCAATATGGCGGCTTGGCACGTCAACCCTGCGCGGCCTTACACTTGCATTGGTATGCACTGCATTTAAAAATATATATTATGCATGGGAACAAGATATGTTGTGAATGGTTATATCAGTAAAATGTAAAGTGTTAATAATATGGAAACATTGCCTAGAGGACAATCAACTTGGAATCGGAGCTATGTCCAGGTGTGAGATGGATTGGGGGTTCGCAGAACCCGTGACAGATGGCGACGGTGTAGACAGCCATTCATGCAGCAGTGGATAGACAATGGCTGATGATAGATATAAAGACATTCTTGTCACCACCTTGGTGGTGATGTATATTTTTGGTGATGTTCAGAAAAGGCCTGACCTTTAACAGGGGTAGGGAGTTGACAAAAATTATAAACAGCTAAATTGTTTATTTAATTTTGCATCATTTACCCACAATCCATCATGGCAGCACATAATACATTTTATCGCAGTTGCTTTCCAAATAGAAGCCTTCAAGTATAATACTGAATCTTGCTAATTCGAGCTGAAAGTTGTTCTACCCACTCCCATCACTGCATGAATGCCGACCCATCGTCACCGATCATGTTTCACTTCTCTCTAAATTATTATGCTGTCCCTCACCTTCCCTCACAGGGTTGTGGCCACCACGCAGATGCAGCCCACGGACGCACGCAAGGCCTTCCCATGCTTCGACGAGCCGGCCATGAAGGCTACGTTTGACGTGACGATTAGACACAAACCCGAGTACAAGGCCATCTCAAACATGCCCATAATAAGTGAGAAACCCCACGATCACAATTATTGTCATGCTCATCCAGTGGCCTTGCTATCGAGAGTGCAGGCGGTGAAACTGCACCAGGGCTTGTGGGGTGCAGGGAACTCGGCGCTGGGTTACAAAGAGGAAGGGAAATTGAACAGGGAGCCACATTTCATTTCCTACACCGAGGCCCAAGTCAAAACACGTGAAGCCACTTTGCACATATTCATTATTTCACTACAAGTGCAGCTAGTATGAAGAAAGTGTCGGCACTGAATGTGCAGTGGACTTGCGGAATTAATGTTTGTTTCAGTAGGACGTATTAGAAGTGAAAATGCTTAATGTTGTGTTGTAGACAGAAAACTTGGGATATAAAAAGGTAAAACAAACAATAATCGCAAACAATTTCATTGTTTTAAACAAGAATATAAAAATATGGTAACTATCATAATGCACTACACCAGTCACTGATTTCCTATACCAAAGCCCATGAGAGCACTGGACTATTTGGCTTCCTGGGCTCATTGAAAAATACAAACAAAACAGAATAGTTTAAAAAAATTCTATTTAATTTCACGAAGACAAAGAGCTCGTTTACATGATGATGAACCTATTATACATTTCCAGATGAAAAAAACATCACAGTTGGGACAATTATCTGGACAGAAACCACGTTCAACACAACTCTCAAGATGTCCACCTACCTGCTGGCCTTCATCGTGTGTGAATTTACTAACATAGAGAAAAAAGAAAATGGCGCACAGGTGTGTATTGAACATTCCTCACCTTAAATCACCAAAGTCAATCCCACAGGTCAAATACCCAAAGTAAATATAATTTACACCCTTGATGACAATGTCACGGTAGAAGTCCAGTTGGGAGGAAACAGTGCTGTCTGCTCCGTGTTGCATTCACGCCAAACAAGATGTGGCCAATTGAGGTACCCGAAAATCATTAGCATGGCCAACATGAATATTTCATGTGCGCATTATCCTTATTTGGTAATGTAGTGTGCAGTACACTGTCATCAGGACCCAATGGATTTACTATACTTGTATTGAAGGTAAAACTGAAGCAAAACACAAGAGCAGCTATCATTAGTGTCTCTCAAAATCCCCATAATGTGCTCAACTCCATGAAGAACGAGACAGTGATCATCGGCTAACGTCACTCTATCACCTGTGTGTGTGCAGATACGCATCTGGGCACGGCCGCAGGCGGTGGACGATGGCCAGGCAGACTATGCCCTCAATATCACCGGCAACATTCTCAACTTCTTTGCGGATTACTACAAAGTGGCGTACCCGCTTCCCAAGTCTGGTAGGCACCTAACTAACTGCCACGATGTGTGTGCACCAACTCAGGGTCCTTTTCAAACTCCAGTCCTCACGGACAACTGTGGCAGTAATGCTCGTGCTTTACTGGTGTAATGTGCATTACACGACATTGCGCGGTGGTGCGGGTTCACACCACAGACTGCATAGGCTGGTTGTTGACTAATAATGGACTATAAATGAATGTACGGTATCTGTCGTAGGTATTCAACCATGGAAACTCAGGTGGCCAAATACAGCATTCCCTGGAAACACTTTTTGAGGGAACCTTTTCTTCAATGCCCACAACTGATTATTGCTAAATATGAAACCTGCATCTTGGTGGATCACAGGAACTGGAGTTTTTGCTGACATGATTCATTATTGTGAATTACCTCAATGCGTATAAATGAGCATCCAAAATGCATAAATTCCAATTTCTACACAGAATTGTAATGTTAGAAAAAAATGGAAGACTATATTCCACTAGAATAAAGTTAAAGAACAAGATTAATATCTTGAAAGATGTGCAATTGTGAGACACTATTTATCAATAGCACACCAATGTCTTAATCACCAACCATGGTGCAAATTGCCAGGTCATGTGTTTTGGCCGTTTTGCAAAGATAGGATTTTCACCCTTAGTCTGCACAGAAATATAACCAGTTTTACTTAAAAATGTAATTAATCAAACATTTTACCTGGATAGTCGGTTGATGGACATTCTCGTTTGCAAGTGGTTTCCGAGTTAATATATCCCATCGACCATATCTGTTAAGGAGTGCCAAGCTCCTGTCGGCAGCTCACAAATCTCGGCTGTCCATGCACCTCAGACCAGATCGCGCTGCCGGACTTTGCCGCCGGCGCGATGGAGAACTGGGGCCTGGTGACGTACCGCGAGACGGCGCTGCTGTACGACCCGGTGCAGTCGTCCAACGGCAACAAGGAGTGGGTGGCTTCGGTAGTGGCACACGAGCTGGCGCATCAGGTACTGTGGTGAACAACGCTGCTGTTCTTAGAGACTGCTGCTTCCAAATAGCTTTGTACATTTTCCGGCCCCGGCTAACATCAGTGGAGAGTGACGTCTGAATCAGTCCTGGACAGCCTAGCTTGCCTACCCCGCACTGACCCAGTATGAAGAATGGTCAAACCCCATGACAGACACAGCAAGGGGAGGCCTTCATCCAAGAGTGGATGGATAATGGGCTGTACTCTATAATACTATCCATAACTATAGGTGAAATCAAATGAACACAAATGGCAATAAAAATAAACGTGTACATAAATGTATCCTAACTCCGAGGGATATTTTTACAAAGAGATACAAATTTAACCACTGAGTATACAGTTGAAAAAGCTACATTCAGAGGTTGTGGTGAAAAAGGTCCTCGGGCCTTGAAAATTGTCAGGTGATTTCCCATTGCAACATTCTGCGTTCATAATGGGAGTTTTAGTATAAAAACATGCTTTACTTTGTGATGTTTATTAAGTACACTTGGGATATATTTTGTTTAAAAAAAACTACAGGCAATAAAAAAAAATGCTTTTGGCCGATATAACAAACCTTTGTTGCCATCATAAAGCACAGGTTACTCATTTCCCACTCCAAAGGCCATGAAAGAGATGGGCAGCATTTAAAAAAAGCCTTACGGTACTTGACTCAGCAGAAAGAAAATTTGAAAACAGGTGTGTTCAAATGTGCTTAGATGGCCAAGGCCAAACGCTTACAGAGATGTTGACCTTCAATCTGCATATCTCATGGCAGCAGTATTTACACAAACTTGTGATCAAGCCAACCCAGGTCATGCCAATAATCTTTAATGCCTATCACCAAGCCTTCACAACGGTGTACTTATCTTTGCACACTGCATATTTGCCTTCTCAACTCCACACATTTGGAATCCCACATTGATGGGCCCGACCTTTGTACCAATCACATGACACAGATGTCGGAGAATAAAATATCACATCGAATATTGCACACATATGTATAATAGAGTTTGTGATAACATGCATATGTTTTATGTTCACCGCTGAATGCAGTGGTTCGGGAATCTGGTCACGCTGAAATGGTGGAACGACCTCTGGCTAAACGAGGGCTTTGCTACCTATGTGCAGTACCTGGGAGCAGACTATGCCGAACCATCTTGGGAAATGGTAACAATCATGATCATGACAATTCACTCACATTATCTATCCTTATCTTATGTTTTCATTTCTAAGGATACTTCTCAACTTTATCCCAACTGTGTTATCAATTCTAGATTTGAAGCTTTCGTGACTGCAAGGATTCATATTCTTAGGTTTTTTCGGTAAAGTCACGTAGGTAAAAAAAAAACAGTCACAGCTATCGTGCTGTGACTCTTCCACCTGAAGACGGAAGCTTGTGTTGCCTCTGAAACGTCGTGATTTTATTAAAATTTTATTTTTTATTTTACTTTTATTAATTTAAAATTTTTATTTTATTTTATTCATTTTTACCTACGTGACTTTACCGAAAAAACCTAAGAATGTGTTATCAATGTCATGTCATGAGAGGAATAATGAATTTGGACCTCTTGCTTAGGAATGCAACATCTTATGTGAGAGAATAGGCCATGGTATCTGATACCACAGAGTTCCCTCTGAGATCTCTTCATGTGACCGCTGGTCTACACAGGTGGTGGGCAACACTTTCCAACTCGCTCCAGATATGAAAGTAATGTTCGATACATGACAGTCGAACTGATATGTTCAGTTCTCGGTGGTTGGAATTTATCCAAATAAAGTATAAAACAAAAAGGTACATCTTCTTAGTTCTTTCGGTAAAGTCACTTAGAAGGGAAATAATACAATCATAAAAATAAAACATTATAAAATAATATATTTTTTATATTATTATATTTTTTATTGTTTTATTGTTATTTTTATTATTTTATTATTTCGCTTCTACGTGACTTTACCGAAAGAACCAAGAAGATGAATCCCTGCAGTCACGAAAGCTTTAAATAAAAAAAATGTACATGTTTCTTTTGTATAGTTATTGGTGATGTGGCCGAGATTATCAACATGCGACACTTACAAACCCGGTTTACTCACAGGCAGCTGCTCGAATTCCAACCCAGGTTCTCAGCAGTGCCAGCTCCGTGAACCAAAATCTGACTTCTGATCCACCCAATCAAATTCCCTATTCATATCACCGTTTGCATAACATATCATTTACGATGCAGTTCAGCTAATCGCTTTGAAATTTAACTTTTTTTTTACAAAGGAAATAAAAAGGTGAACGGCTCAGAATTGACAAACAGAATGTCCCATGTTTGCGACAAACAGAAACAACTGTTCGTGATATCGGAGCTGCAACATGTGTTCTCCATGGACAGCCTGGCCTCCTCTCATCCTCTGTCTTCTGATGAATCAGACATCAACACACCGGAAGAAATCAGTGAGCTTTTCGACTCCATCTCCTACAGCAAGGTACAATCCCGTCTGTTCTCTTACACGGGTCAACAACAACAACAATAAAAACTTTTTTTTTTTTGGCCTGGACTTTTGCACCTGTTTTAGACTAATTTCAGGGTGCCGATTCCAAATCTGATCTCAGATTTGCTCTATCACATCTCATTTTATGCTATCGGCATACCCCATTTGCATTGATTTTACCCGAAATTAACTCTTTCACTTATGATTGCAAGTTGTTGCGAGTCAGTGACTGCTTTAGTGTTAAAGTATGGTGCTGTATTTTTAGGATAGTGTGTTTATAATATAATTTTATGTAGATATCCACATATATTTAATATTTTTCTTCTGCAGTTTTTATTGAAAATGCAATATAAGATATCTCAAAAGCCTGATGTGATAGACAAAAACTGATGCCAGATTTGGAATCAGCGCCCCAAAATTACCTTAAAACCGTTGGAATAACTAATGCCAGAAAAAGTGTGTTGACCAGTATTAATCTCAAAATCACCTCAGTGCCTATAGTGACAGCTGTTTTTTCAAGAATACTTATTGATTATCTAAATATTTACGTGGATAATTAAACCCCCTGTTAAAATCAGGTAATTACAAACAGTTGTATGTAATATTCATTCTAGATATTATGCAAAAAATGCATCGGTGATGGTGTCACCTAAAAAAAACTGCTGTTAGAGGCAAGGGCAGATATTATTAACCATTCTTTCCTTGTTCTGCCTTGACAACCCAAGTACAGATTGTGATGTAAGAGGTAAAGAGGAGGGCATAGGATCTAATAAGATTGCGGGAACTTCAGCCGTGGATCTGCCCATGGTCAGATAACTTAAGAGAACAAAATACAGTATCTGTACAAACTTTGTTAGAACATCAGACAGGTTACCAAGAAGAGGGGGTCAATTCAGTCCATATAGATTAATATGGCAGGAAATCACAGACAAGCTGGAAGACAGCAAGAAACCGGGCCAATAATTTCCTAAGCTTTGTGGTCTCCATTGTCAATGAATGCATGATATGCTTTGACTCCACATAGCATTTTAGGAAACCCCAAAATAATACTCGATTCAAACGATGGATTATAGTTCAAGCTAGTTTTAACCACCGGATTTATAGGGATGGGTTTAATGATTCCTCTTCTTTGCTATTTCAATGAATTATCATTATTCATGGTTGCGATTTGACACATTCCATTCAAAATACTAATACAAAATGTTGATTTGATTCACGTATCGTGACCTTACAAACAGTACTGATAAATTGATATTGTTACACGTTTGGGCTATACACATTAGATGAGTGGACATACATACATTTGTTTAAATGTTCAATGCTTTGCATAAGCTTAAGGTTAGAATTTGCAGAATTAGTTTAACACTCCAAAGATTTCGAGAGCCTAAAATATTTATGATTATCGAGTTTTAGTGGAAGTTTCCAAAACCCTGATCCTAAATAAGGTATCTACTAATTTAGGAGGAACATCTCCTATGTATTTGACCTGCTGCCTTGTTCTAAAGAGTGTGTATTCTATATTTCTCATTTCAGGGTGGATCTGTGCTCCGTATGTTGTCATCATTCCTCACTGAGCCTATGTTTGTAGAAGGACTAAATGTAAGTCTGTCACGAATAACAAAGAGCCATTGAATTCTTGGACAATAATTCGTTTGTGCAACAACATTCAGTAACGTTCAGATAATGTGCGCGTGCATTGTCAGTGTGTGGTGTCCCAAGCATATGTTGATGGAAGCTTCGCATGTGTGCATGCAGACTTACCTCCTGGCTAACCAGCTCAGCAATGCAGCAGTGGATGACCTGTGGGCTCACCAGCAGCAGGTAAAGAGTCACACTGGCACCGTGATGCATACACAACTGTCATCCCTGTCTGCAACAAAGTGAGAATAATGTCCAAAGGAGAGGTGGCTGAGCGGCAGAGGTAGAGTACTGAACAGGATCGTGAGTGTTCCACTAACATATATGAGATCATGGCATCAAACCCTGGACTCGCACTTAACATAAATATCACATGAGGTAGCTGGGTAGCAGAGACGTAACAGCACCAAGTTGCCACCATTGAGATCCTGAGTTTAAATCAAGGCAGCCAGATCATCAAGTGTAGCGAGTTAATGGTCTTAGCTCAATCACCGATTAGTGCACACACAAACAATGTTTACATTATATTTGGTTCTGCAGGTAATTTTGTAAGTGTATATCTCTGAAGATCAAATATATTCATTTAACTTTCATACAATAAACATTACTCTCAGTATGAAGATGGGTAGGAAAGTGCTGATCCTACTGTGTGGAACAGAGGTCACTTGAAAGGATCTTAGAGGTAACTCTCTGATATTTGCTTCCATGACCTGGAGAGTTGCACTTAGATGGAGAATTGCACTTAACGCAAAACTTAAAGACAAATAGTGGGATGCTACAAGAGCAGGGGTTAACTTTACAACTGCTGTGAGATCTGGTACAAAGAAGTTGATGAAGGTGAGGTGTGGTGACATCAACACATTATCCCAGACATTTCTCTTGGTCCTCAGTTTCATTGACTAGAATAGTAGCCCTCATTTCAACTTACTTCTCAATCGCAATGCACGCGAATGTGATTCATTTGACTGGATAGTTGGCCAACCGCAAATGTCCGATTGCCGATGCAGGCGGTGGACAAGAACAACGTGAAGCTCCCAAAACCGGTGAAAGAGATCATGGACACATGGACGCTTCAGATGGGCTACCCTGTGATCAAGCTCGATACGAGCAGCGGCAAGGTCACCCAGAACCACTTCCTGATCGACCCCGAAGCGGTCGTTGAGCGGCCATCGCCCTTCAAGTGAGTATCCCCCTGTACCTCCTGCTCACAGGATGAACACATTACACTGGTCAACAAAAAAAACACATTTTTTTCTGGCCTGGACTTTTGCAGCTGTTTTAGACTAATTTCAGGGTGCTGATTCCAAATCTAATCTCAGATTTGCTCTATCACATCTCATTTTTATGCTATCGGCATACCACATTTTCATTGATTTTACCCGAAATTAACTCTGTCATTTATGATTGCAAGTTGTTGCGAGTCAGTGACTGCTTTAGTGTTAAAATATGGTGCTGTATTTTTAGGATAGTGTGTTTATAATATCATTTTATGTAGACATCCACATTTATTTAATATTTTTCTTCTGCAATTTTTATTGAAAATGCAATATTTGATATCTCAAAAACCTGATGTGATAGACACAAACTGATGCCAGATTTGGAATCAGCACCCCAAAATTACCTTAAAACCGTTGGAATACGTTATGCCAGAAAAAGTGTGTTGACCAGTGTTATACAATGAACTTCAGACAACAAACGAGCCCAGACAAGCATTTCATTAAGACCTCTGGGTAAAGCCAATGAGTCAGTTTGAATGAGTCAATGTTTCTATGGTCGGTATTTTTTTGGCGAGTTACATTGAAATTGTAGTGTTCTGTGGCGGCACAGTGGTTAGCACATTATGCTACAAATCTGCGCAACTACCAAAGTGCAATTCCCATCCACGGCTACCATCACTGCTGAGAGATATCTGAACCAGTCCCAATCCCTTCTGCCTCACCAACCCACACTGACCAACCAGCGTGGTGTACTATGGTCAAACAACGCCCATGGCTGAGAGCTTGGGGATGCTCTCATCCAGCAGTGGATTAACAAAGGGATATACACATTCATCGAGATATAATAATCTGTGTCATAAAACTCAAGTGTAAGCCAAAGTTGTTTTATGATGGTGCATAGTTTCACAATGTAAAATTCACCTTCAATGATTACAGTATTATGGAATACAATACAAAATTCTCCGATGAGAACTGGGTAAATTATATATAGGTCTCTGAGAATCTATCCATATTAATACATTTGAAAAAAGTAATGTCCTGCAAAAACGGAATTAAAATGCCAATAAAATATAATGACCAATATATTTTTACAGTTACCAGTGGCATGTGCCCATCACATGGAAGAAGGATGGACCCACTAACACTGTGTGGTTACAGGGAGTTCAAGGTAAGCACTTTCTCATCATGTTTTGATTTGTGTAAATATTCTATGATGGGGATTGAGTAATTCATACTTTGTCCAATGCAAGTGATGCTAATAGAAAAACGACTAATGTAAAGATTTCTCAATTAACTATTGCGTGTGAGCCAGTTCTACTTTCAACATTGTACTGTTTTAAATATATACGTATGGAGATAAACTTGCTGTGCATTCCTCTTTCATTTTCTCATTTAATCATACAGTTGTGAAATGATCAAACTGCAAGCTGTAATGTCACTCTGGTCCCTGTTACCTATGTCTTTGTTGCCCTCCATTGGTTTCTGCATGATGCCAGAGTCTACCTTTACCGAGCTACAGAGTACTGACAAATGGATCCTGCTCAACGTCGATGAACAGGGATACTACCGTGTCAACTACGATGTTGCCAACTGGAATCGCTTGCTGGCTCAGCTGGAAACTGACCTCGAAGTATGTGAATCAAACACATACTTTTTTTACCTAAACATGAAGATACAATGTATTTGTAGAACAATTTTGTGAATCCACTGCAAAATGAAGGCCTCTACATACTCTCCTGGTCACGTGTTATTTCACCATACTTCACCATGCTGCTCAGTGTGGTTTTGTGAAGGCAGGGAGCATAAACGTGGGAGCACAGAGAACAGTCCACCAATGGATGTTACAGCACTGCCCTCTGCTACCCAAAACTAACCCCACAGCAGCCTATCATAACCTGCTGTGCAAGGTAGTCACCTATCCAAACATATTCCAGACTCAACTCTGCTTAGCTTCTGAGATCTCACGAGATCGGGCGCATTCGGCTTTATCCAATCATAGGCATTAGGGTAAACTACTGATTTTTAAACCTTGTACGTCTTCTATTAATGTCAATACACTAATTATATCTGTTAACAAGCTCCTGATACACTTTGTTCAACACAGCCAGTATTATTTTGTTTAAAACATTCATTGATGCATAAACCGAGGTAATTGATATATCTTGGCTTTGTAGCAGACACACGCGCACCTCCAATTAGCACGGTTGGCTACGTATGGTGCGAAAAAAGTTCAACATACATTATACATCAGCGAGAGGGGCATCTATACATTGATCACCCTGTATAACACAAAAACATATGGACGTCATATATTTCAAATGAAAAAAATAGAGGAATGGTGACATTTAAGAGGTACTCTTCCGAGCTGTACATTACATTTTACAATTGATTGCATTTTATTTTCAGATGATACCCGTGATCAACAGAGCACAAATCATTGACGATGCCTTTAACTTGGCCAGGTGAGAACAACAACAAGGTAACAAGAAGCACAGTTGCAGCACGTAAAGCTGCATAATAAATGTGTACATATGTAGTCATCATTATCACCCTTGATCTATTCACGGCTGGATGAAAGCTTCCCCCAAGCTGTTGCCATCTCTCTTGGTTTTGCACAAAGCATGGAGAGGTGCAGGCTTGGAATTGAACTTAAGAGACAGAAATAGGAACACATGGATGAGAGCACTTATGCAACTACAGTACAAGCAAACCTAATCCAGAATATTATTTCATGGTCCTCTTCCTCCTACCCACCCACTGCAGGGCAAAACACATAGACGTGGAGCTGGCTCTGAAAACCACACTCTACCTGGTCAGAGAGCGCAAGTACCAGCCGTGGCAGGCGACCATCTCCAGCATTTCCTACTTCAAGCAGATGCTTGATCGCTCTGCAGTATTTGGAAATATGCAGGTATAAACACACGCAAACATCTGTAATGCCGATTGATGCAAGCATCAGCGCATGTATAATGCATAACATGTACAGCAGTGAAGAACAGGTCTGTCGGAAAGACAGCGTCTGAAGAACAGGTCTGTCGGAAAGACAGCGTCTGAATGACGCTGTCTTTCCGACAGACCTGTTCTTCACCTGAGGACGGCTGCTTGCGTTGTGGCCGAAACGTCGTGAGAATTATTTTATTATGTTTTTTTTTAATTATTTCCCTTCTACGTGACTTTACCGAAAGAACCAAGAAGATGAATCCCTGCAGTCACGAAAGCTTTAAATCGAAATGTACAACAGTGTTAGGAACAATGTGTTCTCGAAAAACATTGGCAGACATACTGTACCATGTCATGCAAATAACTGGGTTTTTGTTGGGACACACCTCCAAAGAATAAAAAAATATAAAAAAATCTCCCCGATAGCTACTTTTTTTTACAGCATGCAAAGCTACACTGGAAATGTGCTAAATATGCATTTTGATACTTTCTTCATACAGTCTTAGTGTAGCTGATGTAAATAGTCATTTTATAAATAGCCTTTGAATAAATGCAAAATCTAAAAGCATTGCTAATGCCATCCATTTTTGTAAATAGTAAAAGCCAGCCAATTCAGCTCTTTGTAAATGTGTGTTTTTCAGCCGACTTGGAATGTTAATGTTGATGAGCCTATTTCGTGTGAAAACTCTCGGTCCGTATGTAGAAATACATCCTGCAGCAAGTCTTACCACTGTACAATTACTACGATGACCTTGTGGGCAGCAACTGGAACGATGTCCCACCAGGGCATGCTGACCAGTGAGTTGCAAACCTCTCAGTCACACTTGCAAACAGTACATGCAAGCAAGTCTGGCAGCAAAATAACAAAAAGTTTGAAACTTGAAAGTTAATATTAATTTAACATTACTTTGTGCCTGTGCTGGCAGATATAGTATGTGCAATTTCCCTTCAGAATTAAGCTCAGAAGTTGGAAACATGATGAACAGTACTGCGTACAGAGTATGAATGTGGATTAAAAGAATTTTTGCTTCAAGAACCTGTACTGACAAGTAAATTGTTTACCTGTAAATTATGACCAAATTTGAAATTTAGTTTCAAGTGCCAATATAATAACTTTTCCATTTCAATAAAAATAGCAAACATTTAAAATTGTGATGTTCGTAAATGTAAGTGTTTGTATGCAATGATGCCTGTTGTGTGCCTTTCGTACTCTTCATTTCCCACAACATTCGGTGTGCAGGTATAACCAAGTCAACGCTATCTCGCTCGCATGCTCCTACAACCATGCCCCTTGTAAGCAGAAGGCAATTGCTCTCTACCATGCATGGATGCAAGATTCCAGCTTCATGTAAGTCATGTAATACTCACAAAGCTCCATCTTTATTCTACATTTTGTAAATAAATCCAACGGCTAATTTGTAATTTAATGTCAAGTAACTTATGAAGACAGCATGTACAAAGTGGCCTAATAAAATTTTAAATATAATTAAAACTTGAATATGCTTATAATAGTATATGTAAATGCTACTGAAAAGCAGTCCAGACATTATACAAACATTGTGATAAGACTGCAATATTGGAATGGTAATATTAGTAGAATTTACGGCCGAGATGTGGGAAAAAAACAATAATTCAGAGACTGATTGTGGAACTTCAACCGAGAAGATGGGTACAAACTGAGCAATCATCGGAAGGACGTTATTAACCAGGTAAAGTCTTAACTTACTGTGATGTTTCCAACCTACCTGCCTATGTCAGCTGTTATTTCCGACTCTCTGAGTACATCACCAGGTTAAATGTCTGTGAGGCGGCCCAGCCACAGGAGGATCCCCACCACCTCTGGTGGCTGGGACTGTCTCACATTGACATGCTAATCTCTCACATTTGCGTGCAAGTTCCTTCTCTAGCTCCGACCACTTACCGTTGGGTTGGGCCCACCAAAATCTCTTGTATAAACTCTTGTTGCAGCAGCTCTTTCTCCTGCTGTTTGTTTCACCTGATGACGGTTGCTTGTGTTGCGATCGAAACGTCGTGATTTATTTTATTTTATACCCACGTGACTTTACCGAAAGAGCCAAAGAGTATGAATGTATGTATGTTGAACCTCTTTAGCACCGTGCGTAGACAACCGTGCTAATCGGAGGGGTGGGAAAAAAACAACTAAACACAAAAAGCAGTTCTAAAGAAATTCGTTTTCAATTTATAATACGAGGTGGTTGCAAATATAAATGCTTGTTTGTTTTTTCTATGTATTACTCTTTAGTTATTTCGGTAAAGTCACGTATAAAGATGAAATAATAAATTAAATACTAGCATACGACGTTTCGATTGCAACAAAACTTCGTATGCTAGTGTAATGGGTTCAATTTAGGCGCACACACTTCTTGGGAGGCAACACTCATTTATTAATTAACACAACGTTTACTCAACAGTTACTCTTACTCTACACATAGGGTGGTGACCACCGACCTACACTAGCTAACACACAATTGTATTTTATCCGCTCCAGCGTGACCCAGCCAGGTGGTTGCTGGCAGTCCGCTCACTGTAGGTCTTCTCTTCTGGCATCTTCACGAGGTGTCTTCATTCTTCTCAGGAACAGCCCTGCTCTGCCTTCACACCACGCTTATATCTCGTCTCTCTGGCGTGGCCTGGGCGGAGCCGGCCACGCCTTCCCAGGCCACGCCTCACTTCCCAGGCCACGCCTCACTTCCCCCACCTCTGGGAAGGTCCGGATCCCTCCAGCACGTGACCCCCCAGGCACCCCCTTGGGGCCCCCAGCCCTCGTACGGGCCAACACAGTAGTGACCGTTCTGTCACTACATCACCCCCCCTTGTATAAACACACAGCCGTCCCCGGCTGTAACACAACTGTGAACATCGAAAAGGTGTGCCTCCGAACCAGCAACATCAATAAATGACCGGCGACCGATAAGAAATACAATCACGTAATATATACAGAATCGACGAGGGTAAAAGGGAACCGCATAGAAAACGGGGAATTAACAACAAATATACATGAAAACCGGCTAACCCACTTACGCTCCATCACAGCCCCCCCACCGTTAGAATCACGCATGCAATGACAGTCACCCGTTAGCACCCCCCCGCCTTTCCGACGTGGCGTCACAACCAGTAGCACGCGTCGGCCATATCGGGGGGGGAATTTCCATGTTACCACCCCACCGCCTTTCCGACGTGGCGTCACAACCAGTAGCACGCGTCGGCCATATCGGGGGGGGAATTTCCATGTTACCACCCCACCGCCTTTCCGATGCGGCGTCACAACCAGTAGCACACGTCGGCCATATCGGTGGGATTTTAACCCAGTCTCTCTCCAAGACTCGCATCGCAGCATATAGCTGTACCGACCGAGCTGAGACGACCCATCGTTCACTCACTGCACAACATGCACCCTAACAACTGAGGGAAACAGTCTCAACGTAACAGGCTAACTCCACCCGAACCTTACGAATCTCCAGCCCACTGTTTCAACGCGCCTCAGAGGGTCTCAACCTCCGAGCCGTCAGGTCAAGCTGTCAGCCATAGCATGACGGGACCACCCTCCCTGAGCCATGTGAGCGCACAGCCCACAAGGCTAGACAAGCCACAGAGTGTCTCCATCTCTGGGCTGTCAGGTCAAGCCGTCAGCCATTGCATGACGGGACCACACACTCCGAGCCATGTGAGCACACAGCCCACTAGGCTAGACATACCACGGAGTGTTTCAATCTCCGGGCTGTCAGGTCAAGCCGTCAGCCATTGCATGACGGGACCACACTCTCCGAGCCCTGTGAGCGCACAGCCCACTAGGCTAGACATACCACGGAGTGTTTCAATCTCCGGGCTGTCAGGTCAAGCCGTCAGCCATTGCATGACGGGACCACACTCTCCGAGCCCTGTGAGCGCACAGCCCACTAGGCTAGACATACCACGGAGTGTTTCAATCTCCGGGCTGTCAGGTCAAGCCGTCAGCCATTGCATGACGGGACCACACTCTCCGAGCCCTGTGAGCGCACAGCCCACTAGGCTAGACATACCACGGAGTGTTTCAATCTCCGGGCTGTCAGGTCAAGCCGTCAGCCATTGCATGACGGGACCACACTCTCCGAGCCCTGTGAGCGCACAGCCCACTAGGCTAGACATACCACGGAGTGTTTCAATCTCCGGGCTGTCAGGTCAAGCCGTCAGCCATTGCATGACGGGACCACACTCTCCGAGCCCTGTGAGTGCACAGCCCACTAGGCTAGACATACCACGGAGTGTTTCAATCTCCGGGCTGTCAGGTCAAGCCGTCAGCCATTGCATGACGGGACCACAACGTTCATGTTAGACACGCAACACTCACTGGGCCATCCTGGTCAGGATCTGCGCCCCAAGATAAGTGACAGCCAGCACCACAATTCCAAATCCCTGGCAGCATGTCACCATCGCAATTTAACACCATCACAACACATACAATTTGAATTATGATCCCCCACAGAACTGATCCAATGCTGAACAGGTACGCACAATTTGTGACGATCCCGAATATTCAATGGTCACAACAATACACCTCACATCCCGTATCCGTACACATCATCTCCGAGACTCGCATTGCAGCAATGCAGCTGTACCAACCGAGTGGAGAGAGCAACGCAATTTGACGGCAATTAACGGAAACGCACCCCCGATCCATGTAGAACACAAGGAGCATTCCCGCACAAAAGACATCATCTGTGCAACAACGGACAGGAACCAACCAGTGAGTTTGAAACAAACCGAACCTGTAATTTCAAAATCCCCTTCAACATTAACCATGGGACTCAGGGCATTCGAATAAAAAAAAAACTATACACAAACGCCAAGAATCGCCGAATTGATTAATACAGTATATGCAGTATACGAAGTTCGTACAGTCAATCATTTGGCGCAATGTTCCATCCAGTCCCCACATGGCAACACACACAATCAATACTCCAGACAATCCGTACATAGTAAATAATCACCAGCAAGTACCCAACAGTCCATACACTGTTAACAATTTCAAGCAAAGCTCCATATGGTCTGTACATTGGCAACAATGACGATCAAAGTTTCTGACAGTTACAAGTGACAATCACGAGCGAAACTCTATACAGTATACACAATAACAATGGCGATTTCGCAACACAACGATGTAACAACACGAGTCATTAACACGGCAACATACAGGATATCAACGGAGCTCGGGACACCAACAACGAATTAATCATTAACTACCCCCAGAAGATACCGATCTCGACGCCGTAATTAACAACAAACACTGGTTGCCGCGTCAATGTCTCACGCACACAACCGGACGAACACGTTCCACAACCCAGCGAGTAAAAAAAAACACCCGCGATCGCAACCCGGCACACGCAAGATGGGTGAAGTTATTATTATTATTTTTATTGGGGCCGGGTGCTTGTCAAGTCACAACTCGCCTGGCAAACTGTGAATAGCGGAGGGCGGCAAGGTGGAGCACTGGAACGGCCCGAAGAATCTTTGATGGTGAACACGGCCTGCTCTTGCGAACCCATCCACCTCTCGCGCTCGAGCAGAAGGCTGGAACTCCCCCTCTGCAGGCGTTGATGTCGGCGGGAGCGGCATTTCGGCAGCAGGAGCGGTGTTTTGGCGCGAACAGCGCCCCGACCAGCCGCCGAAATGGCGGGAACGGCGTTTTGGCGGGAACAGCGCCCCGACCAGCCGCCGAAATGGCGGGAACGGCGTTTTGGCGGGAACAGCGCCCCGACCAGCCGCCGAAATGGCGGGAACGGCGTTTTGGCGGGAACCGCGCCCCGACCAGCCGCCGAAATGGCGGGCCCACCGCGTGGCCCGCATGCCCGGGCCTCCCCCGCCAGCCACCGCAGCGACGATGGTGTCCTCTCGCCGCGGCTCCGTCGCTCCGTTCCCGATGGCGGCGAAGCAGCAGTGCGATGCAAGTCCCGCCGCTCCGCGTGCAGCGCCATCTCTCTCTCTCTCTGTCACCGGGGCTGCCATCCCCGGGGCTGTCCGAAGGACGGTCGTCACACCATCCCCGTCGTACGAAGACGTCCAGATGAGTTTTGTATTTGTTTTTCGTGTGCCCATTTTACTTCCCTAGGATAACACCTAGCAATATTTATTTTTCCACAACTTCTGACATCAAATGTAATGGGTTCAATTTAGGCGCACACACTTCTTGGGAGGCAACACTCATTTATTAATTAACACAACGTTTACTCAACAGTTACTCTTACTCTACACATAGGGTGGTGACCACCGACCTACACTAGCTAACACACAATTGTATTTTATCCGCTCCAGCGTGACCCAGCCAGGTGGTTGCTGGCAGTCCGCTCACTGTAGGTCTTCTCTTCTGGCATCTTCACGAGGTGTCTTCATTCTTCTCAGGAACAGCCCTGCTCTGCCTTCACACCACGCTTATATCTCGTCTCTCTGGCGTGGCCTGGGCGGAGCCGGCCACGCCTTCCCAGGCCACGCCTCACTTCCCAGGCCACGCCTCACTTCCCCCACCTCTGGGAAGGTCCGGATCCCTCCAGCACGTGACCCCCCAGGCACCCCCTTGGGGCCCCCAGCCCTCGTACGGGCCAACACAGTAGTGACCGTTCTGTCACTACACTAGTATTTAATTTATTATTTTATCTTTATACGTGACTTTACCGAAAGAACCAAAGAGTAATTCCTGCAGTCACGAAAGCTCCAAATTAAGTTTTCTCTATGTATGTTTTAAATTAAAACAATGTATTGTTAAAATAACCGTTGAAAAGGTAAAAAACTCAAATTTTTGTTTGTTGGCATATAGAATCCTTTCAAACCGAATAAATAAAAAAAGAATTAAAAATGTGGCCCTCTCCCGAAAATACATTATGTTCTGACATCTTCTGTACCGACAACTGAATAGCTTTCAAAGACAAACGAAATTTTAAAAAGTGAGTTTTCCTCACGCATTGTCTTGTTTTGTTTGTGTCTACGTGGCCGCGGTGTGCAGTATGCACGCGAACCTCAAGTCGACGGTGTACTGCGCGGCGATTGCCGCGGGTGGGCAGGCCGAGTGGGACTTTGGTTGGAAGATGTTCAAGGAGACAGTCGCTCGCCACGGAGGCCGATAAACTCCGGGACGCACTGGCTTGCAGCGAGGAGACCTGGATCCTGAACAGGTGCTGCCAACATACGCGTAGATTCTTCTGACGTCTCTCGGAAACGTTAATTAACCCGGGATGCGTCAACTACACGTGTCAACCCAACAATGTTTTTCAAGATATCCCTGCCCCGGATGTTTAGTGAATACCCAGAGGTTTTTTTCGTTCCAGTATGGGATAATATGAGTGTGCAGCGGGAAAAAAACATTCCAGTCATACAAAGGAACAACATGCTTATTCTGCAAGTGATAGAAATGACAGTTATTTAAATCCGAGATTGATTCCTTTTGTCAGTTTTTTTTGCCATGTATTACCAATAATTGATGCAATTCCTGGGCTAAAATGTGATAGTGGCAGTAGACCTAGCTGATAAGCACAGATATTTTATCCGTTGTGTAGTATTCAGTTGTCTAGATAATCACATACTCGACAACCATTAGCAAGTGCAGTGAGGTGTCTGCATTATGTAGAAAGCTAAAATCAATTTTTGCACATTTTGTTTTACTTTCTTTAAATGTCTTCGTATTATATTACATTATGCTTTGTAAACACAATGCCTCCCAGGAAAAAAGGACATGTTATATTAATGAACTCTCTTGGTTAAAAGTTTACAATAACCCTTGATAAAAAATATATAAAACAAAACCTGTATTATGGAGGAGTGATGGTGCGTACGTTTGAAAGTAAACTGCTACCTCATAGATCCTCGTCCTTGTGTGCACTGTGCAGGTATCTGGAGTACACCCTGGACCCCACAAAAATTCGAAAACAGGACGCAACCAATACCATCGTGAGGATTGCCAGAAACGTTGTGGGGCAGTCTCTGGCTTGGGACTTCATCCGAGCCAACTGGAAGTACATCTTCACCGAGTAAGTTCAACTTAATGCGCACTGCATCCCACTTTCATTGCCAGACGGGTGTACGGAGATCAAGGCTCGTGTGCTCCTGTTTCACATGTTGATGTGTGTACGCGTGTCCTCTGATTGGTCGCAGGTACGGAGGAGGCTCCTTTTCCTTTTCACGTCTCATTGAAGGAGTTACGGGACGATTCTCCACAGATTATGAGCTCAAGCAGGTGAGGAAAGCGCACGTTAAGCCACAGTGACATGGACTCATGAAATACCCATCAATGTTATTCATTGCGTGAGTGAACGCATATACTGTGCGTATGAGTGAGTACATACACGATGTACGTGAATTATTTTTGCTTGTGTTGTGGTTATTGCAAACATGATCCCTTGTATAAAGGTGTCAGTTTTTGTACCAGTTGAAAGGGTAAAAACCTATTACTATATTTTGCCATTGGTAAAGAAGATGTCTCATAGTGTAAATGCTTACCCCGAGCTCTTAATACTCTGATAGTGCACTGTTTTTGAGTTGTATCCCTTTTGGCGTCATCTGGTCCAACACCAATGGAGACTAGGCTCTAAGAAAAGCTGTCTCGGGTGTGGACCAATCAACTTCAAGGACAGTGCATATCATTATCATTATCAGAGTTGTTTCTTTTTGTTTGCATTTTGACTGCTTGTGTTGTGGTTATTGCAAACATGATCCCTTGTATAAAGGTGTCAGTTTTTGTACCAGTTGAAAGGGTAAAAACCTACTACTATTTTAGAGGTGTGATGAGAACAGATGAAGTGAATAATCACTTCCTTCACTTAGTTTTTTCTCACATTTTGCCTACGTTAATTCCAGTGTCAGAGTTAACGAGCGTGCAGGCGGTGCAATTGCACAGGGGTCCATGGGCCAAAAGGGAACCAGGTTCCAAGCTACAAAGAGAGCAAAAATTGGATATGGGGCCCTATTTTATTCCTTGCACCAGGGTCCATGCCACCGCACTATACAACGCTTTTCGAGTCCCTAATTATCTCCACCCGACTGAGCTCACCTCTCCCTTCTCGCCTCTCCTCAGCTCGAGCAGTTCAAGGTCGACAACCAGGAAGTCGGCTTCGGGTCCGGAACACGAGCCCTCGAGCAGGCCCTGGAGCGCACCAAGGCCAACATCAAATGGCGTGCAGACAACGAGAAACGGATTGGCGAATGGTTCATCGCCAACATCAGACCATAGGAGGCCCACAGCCCACGGGATGACACAAAACATATTTCACCGTCTGCAATGAGTTTCTATTCAAATAAATAATTTGGTGTAAAAAATATATTCACTGCATCCTAAGTGCATTTATTTGACGAAATATAAATGTAAACATTTTTCATGAGTGTTGTATATACAGGCTTTTTTCCAAATATTAATATTAAGAATAATTCTGCCAATATATATTTTTAAATAATTGATCGGGGCAAGCATGGGGCATGCAAGGGTGAGGCACACCCCACCCCTCACACCCAGCTGCCTCACAACTCGAGGGAGGAGGACATAAAGAGCCATTAAACAATAAACTCCGAGGCAAAGGGAGGTTAACGATGATCTGCAAAATCTCCAGATTGTCAAAGGACCATATGACATAACCTCCCCGGACGTTTTGGACAGTTCACAAACACATCTCCAGAGCCGTAAAACACAGGCACATAGCAGGGACAATCGGACGTTACAACTGGCGTTTAGTTTTTACGATAAAAGTTCGAAACTTAGCGACAATAAAAGATCAACATTATAGACTGCCAGATTAAGAACCAGACTGCAGTCTACATTAGTGGCTTTATTATTACTTCCCTTATTGTACTCTTATTCACCGCATATATATATATTTTCGTATTGTATCTTTCTATCTACGTGACTTTACCAAGAGAACCAAGGAATATGAATTCCGGCAGTCAAGAAAGTGAAAACTAAGTTATATCTCCAACCTCAGGATATCAAAATATAACGCGAGAATTAAACACCGATTCCTGGCGACACAGACTGAGAACAAAGCTTAGCAACACCCTCGGAATCGCGGTGGTAACAACTAATGGTACATTACAAATCTCGGTTAAACATAAACCAAGTAATAATCATGAGGTATTAGACCTAGGGCAACTCAAAAGAGATACAAGGAAAATAGGTCAAACACACAAGACCAGATAATATGTATTCCACGGATTCAGAGCCTCCCCGGCCGCCATTGTCTTCCAACAATTTGACACAACACAGGGTAGCAATAAAATACGTATTTAAGGGTGTCTCCCCTCGAGATAGCAAACATCACGAATGCAGAGGGGGGCGGGGGAATGCAAACAAAAACAGAAACATGGTGATCGAAAGCAGCCAATCAAAGGTCAAAAGGGGGGGGGGGGGGGGGTAACCAGGCGGCTGCGGCCACGGAAAGGAGAACGGTGACAGAGGGCATGTGTTTTTTTTCTCTCGCAAGAGACGCGCAGAGACGGGGAGAGAATTTCACACTTAAGCAAGAACACAGATCATGCAAGTCAGTACTGCGGCGGGCAGGCTCCGGGGGCATGGCCTCGAGATCAACAATGGGTGTCATGTCTCGCAGAGAAGAGGGGCGAGGTGATGCTCGGTGCTGAGTTCGGCATGGACCGACAGAATATCGCTGAGAGTTATACTCTACATTTATCCTGATGCTTTGAGTCGCTTGCAGAGTCAAGGATCACATCTTCTTGGTTCTTTCGGTAAAGTCACGTAGAAGGGAAGTTATAAAATAATACAAATAAAACATAATAAAATAATTCTCACGACGTTTCGGCCACAACGCAAGCAGCCGTCCTCAGGTGAAAACCAGGTCTGTCGGGGAGACAGCGTCTGAATGAAACAGCACACGTGCTTGGAGCATATATATAAGCTGGGTTGGAAGGGGGGGGGGGAAGGGCGCTTCGACAAAAGAATTTGCATATCAAGAGGAATTTAGCATATTTAGGTGAAATGCAGGAATGTGATTAGTACTACGTATGCCCGTGCATTATGCAGGACTAGCAGCATCAAAGGGAGGGGATATGGGTAGCATTAATAAAGGGAAGGAGTGTTAATAGTATGTAGCTGCAGTAACTAAAACCAACACGTAAACAACTAAAGTATGAACTACATAGTATCATCAGTATACTAACTATACTCTAAGCTGAGTTAGTATACTGACGATACTATGTAGTTCATACTTTAGTTGTTTACGTGTTGGTTTTAGTTATTGCAGCTACATACTATTAACACTTTTTTTTTATTCATTTTTCAAGACCCGACATATACAACACGAGTAAGACAAAGTTTACTTACATTTTACTTGAAACAAGTCTTAAATAAAAAAAATGTCTTATATGTACATCAACGTGCAATTTGCAGACTACGAGTGTGCTCCTAATCTCAGCTCGTTACCTGTATAAAAGACACTTGGAAGCCAGAAATCTTTCTGATTGAGAGGGGGTCAAATACTAATTTCCATCATTAAAATGCAAATCAATTTATAATATTTTTGACGTGCGGTTTTCTGGATTTTGTTGTTGTTATTCTGTCTCTCACCGTTCAAATAAACCTACCATTACAATTATAGACTGATCATTTCTTTGTCAGTGGGCAAACGTACAAAATCAGCAGGGGATCAAATACTTTTTTTCATCACTGTAAATCACCACGGCCCCCCTTACGTTATGGCAAGCTTCGGGGCCACTTCCTGGAGTCGTGGAGTTTTGCCATTACTAGTACGGTACATTTCATTAAAGAGTGTTTTTTTAAGAAGTATTTTTAAATAGTACTTATTACAAATTGAATTAATCAACTTTAAATTGTGTTTGCTGGAATTAAGTTAATGGCTTGAAGAATACAGTACAGCAAGATCATTGTTTGAAGATGAGTGGACCTCAACATGGTTAAATGTTTATTTATGGGCTAAGCGTTTTCATTTTAATATCCTCCATTACGAAAAAGACTGTGAAAACAACAGTTTCACACGTAAGATACGGTGCATTGCTCAACAAATGACAGTTTGTGCAACGAAACAATAAAACACGTATTTTAATTCAACTAGGAAATGTCTTTTGTCCTGCATTAAAATTAGCTGTGACCATGTCCAAATCGTCAGAAGTTCCCCCACCCTCTCGTGAGAGGTCAGTGACTTAAAGCAAAAGTTTGAGCCGTCTGGAACGTTCTTGGATAAAAACCCGATGTCATAGGCTGCTACATCGGTGCTACAGCTGACATTGTTGTCCTGTACTATGCCCCATACCTGTCAACCCATACGGTTTACCCCGTATTCTTGTCCAAATTAAGTTTTCAGGTCCATACGGCATATAGCCGTTTCAATACCTTGCACATTTTTTGTTTGTCTATTTGTTTGAGTTTCTCCCTTGTGATGGGACTTTGCAGGATGAACGTTGAGCTTTATAAGGGCACGGGGTGGCCGATAAGGTCTGAATTGGCCTGTAATAAGATGGGGGGCACTGCTGATAAGGGGTTGACAGGTTTGCTCTTCTCCTAACCAATGTTTCCCCACATTCACTGATCCACACTTGACCAGCCTGAGAAGACCCTCCTCTCAAACACAAGCAGATTTAACAAAAGGGTTGTTGTTGTTGTTGTTACGAGTCCAAGATTGGCGATGAAATTCAAAAGGGAGGCAAACATCTGAACAGGTTGATACACTTTTCTGAAAGCAACATTGTTTTATAGTAGTAGGTTTTTACTCTTTAACCTGGTACAAAACTGACAGCTTTACCAGTTTAAAGGGTAAAAACTTACTACTATATTTTTCCACTGGTAAAGGAGGTCTCATAGTCAACATTGTTTTGTTCATAGGTCTTCAGTGAGTTACACTTAAATGTGTATTGGATCACAGAAACCTGTAAACACTTTGAACAGTTGCGATAATGCAGGTTACATCCACATGCTATTTATTACCTCACACTTATAATTACTATACAGCGGTAATATTTCCGTGCAATTACCTGATACTATAACAGTAATATTTGCATACAATTACCTGATACTATACGGGTAATGTGTGCAATTACTTGATACTATGAGAGTAATATTTGCGTGCAAATACCTGATACTGAGTAATATTTACGTAATTCATTACCCCAGGCTAATATTACCAATGTAAGTCAACGTTTTACTCACGAAGAAAATTGCCATAGGTTTCTGAGTAATTAGTGTAAATTCAACATTGCCCATGACAGTGGCCAGATTATTCGTGACAAAAATATATATTTCCTACACAGTAATTACCGTTGTAACGATATATTTACCCTCTCAGTACTAAGGAATTAAGATGTATTTTTATATATATATAAGTGTATTTCATTTTATGAACACAGGGATGAAAATGAATAAAGTCGGGTTGCTAAACATTTTTTAAGTAACGCAGAGCAAAACTTGGGGGCTAAATTAGCAAAAGCAAGATTTTGAATCCCGTACCGCAGTATTAAATAAACATTTGATGAATGCAGTTGCAACTACTGTAACTGTATGTACGTTTAACCGTAGGTAACCAAATCCGCGATTAATCTAATTTATAAAAACTGAGGGACGTGGAATTGTCTAATTGTAGTAATGCGATTAATCGATGGTCGTATCAGGCAATGGATCTATATATATAAAATCGTGAATCTGTCTGTCTGTCTGTGTGTCTGTGTGTCTCCGGAACATACGCACTTTCATTGGACGGTGGTTGCCCCTGGCAACGGCTAGCGACGCCTTCGCCGCTTTCATTGGACCTGGCAACGGCTAGCGACGCCTTCGCCAAGGGCTGCAGTTTCATTGGACGGCGGTTGCCCCTGCCAACCGCTAGCCACGCCTTCGCCACTTTCATAAGCTCCGTAATTAATTAAATAATAGCCATTACACAGTGTTGTTGGCGCGCTAGGGGGGGGGGAGGAACTCCACCCGTACCCTGCCTCTTCCAAGTCGACAATTTTAGGCGAGGCCGCAGGCTTTGCACGCTACTAGGCCCCGACACCCACCACGCCACTCTGAGGTAAATTCATCAAAGTTTTTCCTACTCTTCACTACACCCCCACCACAATGTGTGCTATTAATATTACTTTTAAACCCAACGCGCCAACAATCGATTACTTTAATGTTCACTGTACAAATACTCATTAAGCTGGGTGAGCGTACTGACAGTCTATTATGTACACTGTAGCCTGCTTATTAAGCTCTGTCAGCGTACTGCCACTCTATCATGTAGACTCTAGCCTGCTTATGAAGCTGGCTGGGTGTACTGCCAGTCTATCATGTACACATTAGCCTGGTTAGGAAGTAAAGTTAGTCAATTTGTAACACGTACGCTTTCGCAAACATTATTCATAAACAACGTTATTGCGTTTAGATCGCCTTATTTATTAAGGTGTTGTCACCCTTATCCACCACCCGACACGCCCAATCTGCACAAAATTGTCACGCTCATAAAAGACTAAGACTTGACTGCTTTAGCCCACCGGTGTGTTCAAGCGGAAAACCACAACAATTACCATTTCTCATGAAAAAACTACTGTATAATTATGTTTAAACCACACGCGCCAATAATGGATTTGTTTAAATGTTCACTCAACAAATACTCATTAAGCTGGCTGAGCGTACTGCCACTCTAGAATGTACAGTGTAGCCTGCTTATATTTCTGGGTGGCTGTACTGACAGTCTATCATGTACACATTAGCCTGCTTCTTAAGTAAAGTGAGTCTTTTTGTAACACGTACGCTTTCGCAAGCATTCTTCAAAAATAACTTTATTGCCTTTCGCTCGCCTTAATTATTAATGTGTTGTAACCCTCCACCACCCCACACGGCCAATCAGTCAAAAAGTGTCCCGTTGATAAAACACTCATAAGTCTCTGCTTTGGCCCACCGGTGTGTACAAGCGTAAAACCACAAAAATCCCCATTTCAGAGTACGTCCTTTCGCTGATGCTGGATGCAATTACCAGCCAAACGTCGTACTGTTCAGTTGTCTGTCCGTCTGTGTACGATCGCTTGCGAGGGATTTGCCGGGAGGCACGTCCCGTGCCCCGCGATGGGAATAGGCATGTCACTGTGTATGTGTTTGTGTGTATGTGTGTGTGTTTGTGTATGTGTGTGTCTGCAGCAAGCGCGTGTATGTGTACCTATGGACGCGCGCGCGTGTGTTGTGTAGGGGGAACGGTAGTGTAGTGGTTAGCGTGCTGTCTGTGTCTGTGTGTGTGTGTGTCTGTGTGTGTGCGTGTGTGGTGTGGGGAGCGGTAGTGTAGTGGTTAGCGTGCTGTCTGTGTGTCTGTGTGTGTGTCTGTGTGTGTGTCTGTCTGCGTGTGTCTGTGTGTGTGTCTGTGCGTGTGTGGTGTGTGAGGAGCGGTGGGTGTAGTGGGTAACGCTACGCTGCGCTACCAACCCGGCGAACCCAGTTCGATTCCCGCTCATGGCCACCACCGGTCAAGATTATTTGAACCTCCCATAGGTCGACTCAGCCTCAAACTGGTGTGGCGTATTAACATCGCCACTGGGGAGACAAAGGCGGCCGGCCGTGGTGGATACAAGTCCCGGGCGAAGCCGGGTAGTACAGCTAGTCAGCAATATTTGTATTTGATGGCCATAATCAATACCTCTCGGTCTAATTTAATAAATGCGCATTTGGTGTTCTGTATTTACTGTTGGGGCGCAGGACACGCGAATATTTTCCTAAATTTTTTTTATCTTTGACAACAAAAATCAGTGAAACAATATTTTTTTATGATAATTGGTTCTTTACCCTTCTATCTGGCAACAAAACTGACACCTTTTTGCAAGGAGTCATGTTTGCATAGACCGCAATACCTGCAGTCATAATACAAACAAAAGAACATAACTCTGATAATGTGCACTGTCCTTATTATCAGAGTTATGTTCTTTTGTTTGTATTATGACTGCAGGTATTGCGGTCTATGCAAACATGACTCCTTGCAAAAAGGTGTCAGTTTTGTTGCCAGATAGAAGGGTAAAGAACCAATTATCATATTTTTACTGGCAAATGAGGTCCCCATAGAATATTTTTTTATATTTTTAAAAATATTCTCTAGCTAATTGAAACCACACGTGACCAATGCATTTGTAAATACCGCACCGAACTATATTCATAATATTACCTTACTTGAAAAGGTATAGAGTACGTTTTTTATTTAACGCATGCAAAACATACTGTTTTACTATCCTGTATTATACTTCTATGCTCCCTGCCTTCACAAACACACACTGACCAGCGTGGTGAAGTATGGTCAATACCCCCCCACACACAACTTGGCAATCAGCAGCAGCAGCTGATTGCCAAGACAGCCGTGCCACGTGCAGCATTCATTAACGCAATAACTAAGTCACTCAAGATTAATTGACGCAATTACAAATCGACACCGCAGAATCGACTCCACTTTAATCGAAACAAATTGCGTTGCACGTCAACGGAGTCTGGAGAATCGATTTCGATTTTCAATTAAACACAAACTAACAGGAATCGATTCTTTGTGTTCCGGTATACGTCATCGTTTCAACCCCCTCCACGTGGGAGCCGGCGTGGTACAGTGCGGCCGGGGGCCTTGTAGGTGGTCGTAGGAGCCGCGGGGATACAAAGAGGGACGCGGTGAGACAGAGGAGAAGGGACACGAGGGAGCACACCGGAGACGACGAGGAGGAGAAGGGGGGGGGGGAGGTGCAATGGAGACACGGGAGAGCGGCGCTGGCCGTCGTTTCGCCGAGGCCCAGCTGCTGAAGCACGGCTGGACACGAGGTTGGCACGTGGTTTTTTTTACCACCCCTTTCCACTGACCATACTTCACCGCGCCGGTCACTGGGGGGGGAGGGGGGGTGCGGTTGACGACGGCGTTATAGGCGCACGTAAGTACAGCGCAGCGATGTCGTTCTGCTGCTGCACCGTGTACGGAACGAACCCCCTCGCTTGGGATGTATTCCAGCTCAGATGATGAAAAGGTGATCCGCGTCTCGTGGCCGTGTGTAGTGGCGAGAGTGGGCAGGGCCAGTCGGGAGGATGCGCCGCCCAAGCGTGGAATAAAGAGCCGTCTCGAAGTATAAATTTCGATTGAAAGCTTTCGTGACTGCAGGGATTCATCTTCTTGGTTCTATCGGTAAAGTCACGTAGAAGGGAAGTAATAAAATAATAAAATACAACCTAAAATAATTCTAACGACGTTTCGGCCGCAACGCAAGCAGCCGTCCTCAGGTGATTATTTTATTTTTTATTTCATTACTTCCCTTCTACGTGACTTTACCGAAAGAACCAAGAAGACGCTCCGAAGTAGTTTTGTGGTGTCTACTTCCCGAGGCCATTTACTGGCACGCGGCCGGTGCCGAGTATAATAAGCCCCCCTTGCTCGAGTTTCGCGTGGAAATGTATTCGTCCCGTGACCACCCGGCGCATCTAATTGACACATGCAAAGTATATTGATGTCCTAGAACGTTTAAACTAAAAAAAACCTGCCACATTGGTACTACCCGGTGGGAAAGTTATTAAAAAAAACATTGTATAATTTTACTACCTCTGTCAGAATGTGTGGTCCGGGTGATTTTCTGTCAACGGCTGCACAAATAAAAAATGTTGTGCAGCAGAGAGAGATTTCCGTTACTCCAAGTGTCAAGGTTATGTGCCCGTGTCGTGTTCTTTAGGCGATGATGATTGCATAATCTTGCCTTTTTTGCGTGAACAGAAATGCACATTACTCTTGTTATCCGATCTTGGTTGTGCATGTTGCTAAATTGGGGTCGTTATCGTTTTTACCACTCATTGTGTTGTTACTTTGCACCAGGACTTCTTGGCAAACTCCTTATGCTTATTTGCATTTTCTGTTATCTCGTGGACTCTTCATCTGCTGCAGTTCAAAAGAATCTGCGTCCTGAACACTGGATGAAGAGATGGCACAGCGCGCAGCGTAAACTAGTTACTTATTTACCCAGGAAAGCCACTACGACTCCAGCGCCTCACGTTCAGGAGGGTCCTGCTACAACGGAACAGTTTGGCCAACACCAATTTCAAAATTCTATGTTTTTTGCTGTGGAAGGAAACTGAAGATGGCGGAGGAAATCCATGCAGAACAGTGTGAGAGCTTACAAACTCCACACGGGAAGGACGACCCGAATCAAACAAACACAAATCCAACCCAGGTCCTTCTTGCCGTGAGACACAAGTTGACCCTACTACGCCACCCTGCTTGACCCGTGGCCGAGCCGTTCGCGGTTCAATCTCGACGGCCATCCTGGTTAATATCGCGGTGTATTACCCCAATAAAAAAATGCCCGCCGTCTGCTTAGCAGTGGACGTCAAAAACGCCTTCGCGTTATACCAAAAAGTAAGGGCACGTGTTGCCGGCGTCACACTCCAAATTTGGCAGAGTTGCAAAAAATCACCGTCGGAATGCGCGCGCCCTGTAAACGTTAGCGCGTCCGTGCGACGGCCTTTGTGTGGCCAGGAGGATGTGGGGTGCGGGAGAGTGCCGCGCGTGCTGCTAAACGAACGCGCGTGTTGTATTTAATTCCCTGTTGCTCTTCCCCGAGACAGGCAAGGGCTTGGGCCGCTTCGAGAACGGCCGGGCCGAGGCCGTCAAGGTGAAGGTGAAGCACGACACAGCCGGGGTGAGCTTCGCAAGAGGCCAACACCCGCTCGGCTGCACGCCACGCCATCCATCTTACCCATCCGTCCCGTCGTAAAAGCCTTTTTGAACATACTTCACCGATCCTTCGAGTGAGCTAAAAACCCTTTACCCACCCACGGCAGAATTCTGAAACTCGCCGGCGATGCTGTGTGTGCATGCGCGCAGATCGGCCATGACATGGCGGAGCAGTTCACCTTCCACTGGTGGGACCACGTCTTCAACAAGGCAGCGGCCAGCATCGAGGTGGAGGGCACAGAGGTAAACTAAAACTAAACGATATCGTACTCGTAGGTTTTTTTCGGTAAAGTCACGTAGGTAAAAAATAAAATTAAAAGTTAATAAAAGTAATAATGGAAATAAAATAAAATAATAAATCACGACGTTTCGGAGGCAACACAAGTCTCCGTCATCAGGTGGGACCGTCACAGCTAAAATTACTGCATCAAGTGATTTTAGCTGTGACGGTCCCACCTGATGAAGGAGACTTGTGTTGCCTCTGAAATGTCGTGATTTATTATTTTATTTTATTTCCATTATTACTTTTATTAACTTTTTATTTTTTACCTACGTGACTTTACTGAAAAAACCTAAGAGTATGAATCCTTGCAGTCACAAAAGTTTCAAATCTAGAATTAAATGATATTGCTGTTTTTTATTTTACCAGGTAAGGCCCACTGAGCTATATATTTGTAGCTCTCTTTCAGAAGCGACCTGGCCACAAATGGTAGCTCAGCGAAAGGGGCTTATCTTCACGTGGGAATTTACAGCACCCAAATATACTCTAAACGCCGCATGTTGATTCTAAACGTGAGGGGAAAAAACGTGAACACGGGGAGAACACGCGAGCTCCCAAAAAAATAATAGGCGTCGGGGGTTGAGGGCGATAAAATCTCGCCACCTGGTTCGCGTGATGGGGGGAGGACGGTTGGGCGGCGGCCCATCTTGACAGACTTGCCTCCGTGAACTTTGCCTTGGTCTGCCCTTGACCTTGCCCATCCGCCCTGTTTTATGAGCGCCTCGCTGGCCATAACTGCGGCCGTTCCCTTGGCAACCGTTTTTATTTGGTCAGCGTTTTTTTTGTTTTTTGTGTCTTAATTCGAGTCGCCGACGACGACCGACAATTTTAGTCGCAGGATTTATTTTAGTCGCCCTCTTAAGTCTAGTCGACTGAAGTGGTCAAAACATTGAGTTCGCTGTTAGCTATGAAATGTTAGTGTAAGTCGGCGTGATATTTGTTCCGCTGCATGTATATTATCGGCTCAGCTAATTGGTGAACTCTGTAAATATTTTTGTGTAAATTACCCAATTACCATTTTTGGACAGCCTCATTGCACAGTTGTCTCTAATAACATTAATGAATTATCTGAATTATCTTAGCCTGTATCTTTGTTAATTTAACCTCTCATCAGAGTTAAGCTTTTTTGCTTTTGTAGGTGGATAGAGCCGCCGTCGGCGGCTTAAATGAAATAAAAACGGTTGCGACGACGGAAATTCTTTCGCCACTAATTCTGCTGACGCAATGAACGCCGCTGGGCAGGAAGGTGCCAAGGTGATGGGAAATCGCGCTGACGGAGCGGAGGAGCCAATCAGCAATCGGAAGCCGCGCAAGGCACACCTTAGCACGACGCACGCGCTCTACGGCAACTTCGTCAAGGTACGACGCCTGCGAGGTGAACAGGTCGGCCTCGCAGTTCACGCAGGTCAGAGCCTGGGTTCCAATCCAATGCAGCGGGTTAATGAAAACAAGTTTTTTTCTATTTATAAACCATTTGTATATTAGCAGTAAGGCCCACTGAGCTATATAGCTCTTTTTCAAGACTGACCTGATCACAAACGATAGCTCAACTATGTGGCTTGTCACGTAGAAATGTATAGCAGCCAAATACTCTGAAATGCATGTTTCGGGAGGGAAATAACGGAGTACCCGGAGAAAAATCCACGCACGCACGGGGAGAGAGACATTCAAACTCCAAATATGCGGGTATCAGGGGTTGGGATCAAACCCACGACCTCCTGATGCCAGGCGAGGGTAGTGAACAGCTCTCCACCATGGCACGAGTTGACGGCATCGACCCGGTCGCCAATGACCGCACGGAAAAATCCCATCGCATTTAGTTGGGTTCTGCACACCGGTTTGGCAGACGCACGACGAACATTACTCTCATGTACGGGCGAGCAAGTGCTGCCCTCTACTGTGGACCAGAGGAGTTCCTTTGCGTGACGGCGAGAGGTACCTCTGGGACGTGCCCATTCCGTGCGTGGGCCGTTCGCCAACACGGGGTGATGCGCTCATTGTGGTTCATTTGTGGCAAGCACCTTATCATGTAGATTGATCACCGCTGGTGGTTACGACGGCGATGGTGAAGTCATACCCTTACAGGTGGTGCGTGACGTGTCTCCCGCCGCGCCTGTGCCGTCGAGCAGGCCGCTACGCTGACTTCGGGAGAGGAGGTGCGCGATGAGAAGGAGAGCTCCGAGGATGAGACCAGCAGCTCGGAGGATGAGGACGCCAAACTCGACCTGTCTTCCACCACCAGGTTTGGTGCTCGCTTCATTCGTTCGACAGTAAACACACTAGGGAGTTGATGTCATCATGGTGATTGTGCCAGGATAGGTGCACCTTTTTGACACCCTCAGGCCCTGTCCCCTGGTAGACCCTACCCACGCTTGGCCTTGGTTCCGTCATGAGATTGAAGCGTGGCCCAAGAACGGCGGTTTAGATTTTTTGCCGAATTATCGTCTTAATTTGTACTTCACCGTCTCGTTTGTATTACCTTGGTGCTTGTGGTCTCAGTCGTTCCATTATCCTCAAGGTAACATTCGCTTAGAATTTAATTTGAAAGTAATTGATCCTTTCACGATTTGATGCTTGCATTGTAAACATTAGAATCGACTTAACAAATTACTCCATATTCTTGGTTCTTTCGGTAAAGTCACGTAGAAGGGAAATAATAAAATAATATAAAATAATATAAATATAAAACAATAATACGTGACTTTACCGAAAGAACCAAGAATATGAATCCCTGCAGTCACGAAAGCTTTAAATCAAAATTACTGCATCTTCTGGTTAAATAAGGGATAATGATCAACTTTGCTAATTCACACTTTACGCGATACGACAGAGCTGGAGCCGTGGTGAATGCACTGCGCTACGAACCCAGTGGCCTCTAAGTTCCATACCCGACCACCGTTAACTTGAGCGATTATCTGAACTGGTGCGAGCCTCTCCCATTCACCGACTTGCATGAAGTGCGATCTAACTGCCACCACCACCTACATGGGTGGGTGGGACAGGGGGCTTCATCCAGCAGTGGATTGACAAAGGCTGTAATCACGAGCACTTCATCGGGAGCGTTATTTGATTTGCGTCCGGCTTGCGTCGTCCGTGACGGGCGATCTTGATTGCGTTACCTTCGTGTCGCTCGCGGTTTGCGATCGGCGCCGCTTCTAACGTCCTCCGTCGTTTCACTCCGCAGGATGACGGACGAACAGCTGTTGAGAGCGTGCGGCGGGAGGACGGCACACAAGTGAGTTGGCAGAGGCGGGGCCGGGTGCGGCGTTGTGCTACCCGAGAAGTGGAGTTTACAATTTAAAAAGCGGACGTTAGATTCCGGGCATTTGTGAACGCTTTGCAACGTTACGGATGAATGCGTGGATGCGCAGGAGATTTCGTTGTCGTTAAGATGATCCGATACGTACCACCACCCTTTGCTGTAAAAGTTGCTTTGCTGTTCAGGACTTGGCTATATTGAAAAGCAGCAACGTTGATCAAAGACTTTGCTCAACACCTAGGAGACAAAAAAACAGGGCAAAAAGGACCATTTCTTTCGATACCGCTATTTGATCCTTATGGCGGTACCCCGGGGTACCAAATAATACAAAATGGCCGAGGCAATTAAATATTTTTTTTCTGGGACACAATTTTTTTCCAGGGGAGTACTCAACTCCGCGACTGGGGTACCAATCAATCCGAAATCAGTGCCACTCCGCGATGTCGAAACGCAGCGAGGACGATTGCGCTGAAACCCTGAACGCTCGTACGCACCACGGTGCATCGTGTACAGCTCGTTGAGATGAGTCGATTGCCACATCGCCGACCATCACGGACATTATGCGACCCCGGGGTACCGCCATAAGGTTCATTTAAATACTTTGGAGGAAAAAAAACTAATTTTGAGAGGATTACAGCCAAGCGTGATCGAGAGCGGTGTCCGAATCCTATTTGTGTGCATTTGCTTGGTTGTCCGACGACTTAAGAGTGACGCCAACCTTGCCCAACCTTGCCACGTGTGTCTCTGCCCCCCCTCCCGTCTCGCAGGGGCGCCCGTCACGGCGTGAACATGAGCGCCAAGCTGGCCAGGCTGGAGCAGCAGGAGCGCGAGTTCCTGAGCCGCTGGGGGGGGGGCGGCAGCGCACGCACCGACCAAGGGTCGCCCCGACCGGCTAGCGACAACGCCGCGGTGGTGGCGGCGGCAACGGTGACGACGGCTGCGGCTGCGTGCGGAGCGGGATTGAAGAGCGGCGGGAAACGGAAGAAGTCCAAACGCGAGCGGCCGGACGACAACGAGCGCACAGATGCGGACGGACCGGGGCCTGGGACGGAGGAGCCGGGAGTCGGCGGCGACGAGGCGCGAAGCCGACCGAAGAAAAGGAGGCACGAATCGGCGGGCGAGCGGCAGAAAGGGTCCCCCGGCCACGGCATCGTTCCGGACGAGACTGGAACGGCCGTGGCGGCGGTGGCGGTGGTGGCGGCGGCGCGGGACGCCGGCCACCGTGACGGCGCGAAGCGGCACAAGAAGAGCAAGCGGAATGAGTCCGCGGTGAGGTCTGAGAGTGACGCTGCCGGTGGTGATGGTGATGCTGCTGAGTTGGATACCAGAGATGGGACTGATGGTGTCGGGGATGGTTGCTGTAGCAATAACGAGGTGGAGGAAGAGGTGGACAGGTCTGAGAGGAAGAAGAATAAGAATAAGAAGAAGAAAAATAAAAAGAGAGCGAGAGAGCGGCAGGACGACGTGGAGAGGCGAGGCTCGCCGGCGGGAGAGATGAATGAGCGCAAACCGGGACGCTCTTCGGAGGAGAAGAGCATCGCCCGGAGCGATGAACGCTCGGCCAAAACTGCCAAGAAAAGAAAGCACAAGACTAAGTAAAGATATAATCGACTGGTGTGTTTATATTTTTTAATAAATTGGTGGAATTCGCCAAATGTGGCAAAGTTCAGGACTTTACTGATGATGAGTTTTGAGAATCAGGAATTGCTTGATTTAACAAAATGATATTATTTAGTTAAATTATTGCCATTAAAGCAAGAAAACTTTGCAACGACAGTTTTTTGTGCAAAAGTGTCATGAACATCCGCTTGACAAATCTTCATTTCTGTGACGTGTGCGCAATAAACGGTCTGGACTTTTTAGTCGCCGTGTGAGAGACCGGTGTTTGTGTGCGTGTGTGATGTGCATTTCTTTACAATGAACGCAATGCGTTCATTGTTCCACCACCGACTGCAAGGTGCTTATCTTGGAGGCACAAACCTGTGACCTGGCTCGAATCTAAAGATGTGATGGATTCGGCGGGTCATGTGAAATTTGAGGTCTACATGCAGATTTGTATCCGATTCGAGTTAAACTACATTTTTTTAAATATACGATTGCTTCTGTTAACATATGATGACGCTGGATGTAATCTCCAGCGAAATGTTGTAGAAATTTTGCTTGCATTTCAACCCCCCCGGCTCGCTGAATAACCCCCAAATCAGTTGGCATGTTTGCCCGCATGCCAACTTGATTGATTGGCTCTGTCGTCTGGATGGCGGAGCTGTATATTTGAAAATTAGTATCACACACCATCTAGTCCTTCCCCCGCACCTCCGATTAGCACCGTTTGCTACGTACGGTGCGAGAGAAGTTCAACATACACTAGACTATGTGGGTTGGGGGAGGGGTAGTGTTTCGGGGGGGGGGCAGCCTTGGATAAAAAAAACATTGCCACTGATGTTAGCCGTGGTGAGGGGCAGCGGGCAAACCACTGCGCCACCACAAATCCGTACAGACACCTACTACGCCCAAAGTAACTAATTTAAGAATCGTACAGCTCGGTGCTTTTGCGGCTGGTGCCAGATGGGAAGATGTTTTCGGCCTCGAGATATCGAGGGTCCCAGTGAACTTTATTGAGACGTGGGGTGGATGAGGAGGACGGCACGTTGGAGAGAGTCCCCACTGCGTTTCAGTGCGTGGAGCTGAGCATAAGTCGCTACCCAGAGGTGCCACCAGGGGTCAGGGTTCATCCATCCAACGGGGCCAAGGAAAACGTTCAAGTCGTTGCAACAGCCGCGCCAAGAGATGGACCAGAACTGGCGACCTGGACTACAAGTCCATCGCGCTAACCATCAATTTACTAAAACTAATTGGGCTATATTTTCATTTAACCAGGTAAGGCCCACTGAGCTATATAGCTCTTTTTTTTCTGATGCGACCTGGCCACGTGATCATCCGGAGAAAAATCCACGCGACCACGGAGAGAGAGAGAGACGTGAAAACTCCAAATATACAGGTACCAGGGGTAGGAATTGAACCCACGAAACTCCTGTACACAAGTCCCGGTAGTTAACAGGGCTGAACGATTAATCGATTTCAAATCGAAATCGCAATTTTAAACAAAGTCCGTTTACTTTCTTATTGGAATTGTTTTTTTAATTATAACGTTCTTTATTTAACATAACAATTGTTAATTGGTTCTTTACCCTTCTATCTGGCAACAAAACTGACACCTTTTTTTGTTGCCAGATAGAAGGGTAAAGAACCAATTATCATATTTTTACTGGCAAATGAGGTCCCCATAGTATAACAATTGTTATATGTTTGATTGTTCTATTTGAATTGTTTTTTTAACAAACACATTTTGGAAGCAAATCATATCTTTTAAGTTCTCATCCTTGCATTAGAATATATAAAGCAGTTAATATGTTGATGGTATCCTGTGGTAATGCTCCACATGTTTTTAATCTATTACACAGTGAATATTGAACTGAAGCTTGACTTAAAAAAATGTAATCGCAAAACAAAGCGCAATGTAATAAAAATCGCAATTAGATATTTCCCCCAAATCCTTCAGCCCCAGTTAACATCTCGCTACAGCAGCTCCAATTATTTAACACGACGGGAGCCTCCTTGTAAGCGGACATTCGAGGACGCCAATTAGAAACGTAGTGGAGAGCCCCCCCCCCCCTTGCCGCTCACAAAACTCGGATGTTGTTTGGTGAGTTTCTGGTCAATTCCATAACCCGTTAAGTGGTTTACGCGAAGATTAATCCGTGTGTCACCCCCCGTCTCTCTGAGGTGTGGACTCGAGTCATGTGACTTGGACTCGAGTCAGACTCGAGTCATGAATTTGATGACTTCAGACTCGACTTGGACTTGCATAACAATGACTTTGTCCCACCTCTGAGGTGTGGACTCGAGTCATGTGACTTGGACTCGAGTCAGACTCGAGTCATGAATTTGATGACTTCAGACTCGACTTGGACTTGCATAACAATGACTTTGTCCCACCTCTGCCGTCTCTAAACAGGCCTGCGTGAACAAAGCCAGCCTGTTCCCAGCGCGTTACAAGTCCCCTTATATAATTTCGACGAAATTCAATACAGAAAAAATTGCACTCCACAGGTTTCCCTCGCTGTACGCGGTAAGTGGTAGATGCGTGCCGAGTGGTGTACACAGTACACACAGTGCATACGCATAGCGCACACAGCACATACACAGTACACGCAACGTTGTTCCACGTCCGACCGCATAGCCGCACGCGAGTGAATTTAAACCGCGCAGAGCGAATTCGCACAAACCGAACCCGCGCGGAGCGAGGGAAACCTGTAGGTGCACCCGTGTGCGAGTGTGTGGATGGAACGGTGGCGCAGTGGTTAGCGCACTGCACCACGGACCGCTCAAACTTGAACTCGGTTCACCACGGCTGTCACCGTCAGTGGCGAGTCGCATCTGAGCCGGTCCCGGGCACTCCCTCGCGGGCAAGCGCAGCGTAGGACAGGCCTTCATCATCCAGCAGTGGATTGGCCAACGGTGCGAGAGCCGGAGTGCTTTCCGGCGTTCAACGTCGCACTCCCACGGGAGGCGAATTACTTGGTGCACCGAGGGAGGGGATGGTATATCGATCGCGGTGGGGGGAGGTATCGTGAGACTTTAAAGCGATGTAGAACTTTAGACTGACCCCTGTCGATTGCGTGAGACCAATCATACTCACAATCTGTATTTATACCGGAGGAATCCGGTGACCTATAAAGCTTTTTTTTTCACAGATGTCCTGCAGTTCACAGATGTCCTGTAGCAATTCACAGATGTCCAGTAGCGTCCAGGCCTTCGATTTGTAGGGTCCCCAAGTCCAATCCATTCGGTTCACGGAGTTCTCTTGTTCAACTCATCAACTCGGCGAGATCCCGATGATAATAATAATGAGTAACTATTAATTTACATTGGTGTAAATCCGCTGATTGATGAAGTATTGGCGATGTTGTTTGACCATGCTTCACCACGCTGATCAGAGTTGTGGGTAGGTGAAGGGGATGTGGGGGGTGGGTAGAGGACCGATTTAGAGACCACTCGCCACGGACGTTAGCCGTGGTCGGGATTCGAACTCGGGTTTCCCGGCTTTGTAGCGTCACACACAGTACGCCAACCACGTACACAACCGCTGCTACAAAGAGCACGAATCGTGTGTGTTTTTGTTTGTTTTGATTGCAGCAGCATACAAACGCAGCATATACAATCAGACTAACGTTTCGGACAACGAGCCCTTTTTTTCTCGTACGTGCGGAATGCACCGCTAATTGCCTCCGCCGCTGTAATCGGGCGGCAAATTCGAGCGGGTTGGGTTAACGCGCGTGAACAATTTCGAACACAAAATATAAATGCGCTTCCAAGTTTGTAAATTGTGCTCGAGGGCCATCACGTGGTGGCCGACGCTGGGAAGGATTAATTGCCCCGAAAGGAACAAAGACATCGCTTGTCTTGACGTCCTTCGCGGGCGTTGGGGTGGCGGAACATATTTTACCTGGATAATCCCCTTCGAGATGGAACATCGCTCTTTGCAAGTGATAACAAAGACAAAGGTATCCCGTGTAGCCTGTAGAGACCGTTGGGGAAAGTGCTGTTCAGCGAGTCGCACCTTTGGAGTTTGCGTGTCGCGTGGATTTTTCTCCGGGTCCTCCGGTTTTTCCCCTGCACATGAAGAATCAACGTCACGCGTTTAGATTTTTTGGCTGCTATAAATGTAAAAAATATGATAAGCCACTGCGTTGAGCTATCATTTGTGGCCAGGTCGCTTCTGAAAAAGAGCTGTATAGCTCAGTGTGCCTTACCTGGTAAAATAAAAACGAGTTTAATAGATATGCTTTGGTTCTTTCGGTAAAGTCACGTAGATAGAAAAAAAAATACTGTAGCCTGGTTCTTAATCGGCGAAAGTGTACTGGCAGTCAATAATGTAGACTGTAGCCTGGTTATTAAGTTTAGAGCAGCAGGCGTCAGGGTCGGGATCGAACCCACGACTCCTGTATACCAGGCGAGGTAGTTAACATCTCGCTACCGTGGTGATTTGGCCGTACGAAGCCTCACCGCCGCTTGCAGTAAATCTGGCTGTGACGGTCCCACCTGATGACGAAGACTTGTGTTGCCTCCGAAACGTCGTGTTTTTATTTTTTTATTTTTTATTAATTTTAATTTCATTTTTTACCTACGTGACTTTACCGAAATAACTAAGCGTATGAATCTTTGCAGTCATGAAAGCTTCAAATCTAGAATTAATTAGGAGACCCTCTGGATCGCAAAGTCCTGAAAGCGGCTGACCACCATGCAACGGACAACGGCAGCATTCCTGCGAACACAAAGCGTTGAGCGTCAGTGTCACTTGCCATCATCTTCCGCTGTGCGCGAGCCGCGTTCCCAGCGAGGCGGAGAGAGACACAGAGAGAGGGGGGGGGAGTGAGATAATAATGACGGTAATGAGGGGCAGTGGGGACATGTCCCGGTCAATGCCTCTGCTGGAGCGAGGCTTAGGGAGCGAGGCTCAGGGAGCCCCGCATCTACCCGCTAATTGGTGTTTTTTTTGCGGCGTTCACGAACTCCACGCCAAGAGCGTGACCCCACCACCACCCCCCCATTGTGTGTCACGCGGGGCCACGTGCGCGCCGCGTCTCTGACATAGACAAAGATTCCCCACACACCCCGTGTAGCCTTTAGCAGACTGTTTGGGCAAGTGCTGTTAAATGAGAAGGGCCTATGAAGGCCGGCACGGCACACGACGGGGTGGGTGGCCAACACCACGCCCGGCCGCCTTTGTCTCCCCAGTGGCGATGTTTACACATCGCGCCAGGTACCCATTTGAGGCTGAGTCGACCTAGGGGAGGCCCAG